TCAAGAACTCCAAATCTTATTTTCAGATTCAGCTGTGTACCTAGGCCCACTACTTTAGCAGCCTACAGAACCATGGCCTGCAGCTGACTAGAGGGTCTGGATTTGAGGCTATGATTTCAGCCTCTGTGAGAACTATTATAAGAAATGCACTGATGCATTTGCTGCTAAAAATGCTTTTTTAGGATTTCATCTGCCTTTCCTACAGTTCTGTGGGAGACTCTGTTTTTAGTAAAGCATTGTTTCTTGGTATCATTACTATATTTCCTTTTTTTCCTTCCAATACAGAGAAAATGACTCATTTTATCTTGCTCTAAACCACCAGGAAAAAAGAGGACAAATTTTAAAGAATCATCCTGATCCTTTGTCATATTTATATTCTGCCTTCCTTGGTCCTCAAGATCTTTTTTTTTTTTTGGTACCGGGGATTGAACTCAGGACCTTGCGCTTACAAGGCAGGCATGGTGCCACTGAGCTAAATCCCCAGCCACTCCCCCCCTAAAATCTATTTTTGTTTTAATATTTTATTTTGGTACATAGTTTTTATGATAACCCCCATGTAGGTCTATCAAAGTTCCATGTAGGTCTATAATGTCTGTGCTCTTAAAAACATGAAATAGTATCCCTTTGAGTGTCATAAACATGATTTTTACCAAAGATTAAACATTTGCTTACAAATAAACAGGATGAGTAAGACATCTCATTGTATCAAACACCAAGTGGTCCAGGAGATAATAATCCATAACACTCCCTGTGGTCGTGGTCATCATTATTAACATTCCTAAGGAGGTGTCCAAGAGATGAGCTCGCTCATTCCTGTGACTACGAAATCCTATTCATTCCATCAAATAAAGATTGAGGCTAATGAGACCCGGGGCAGTCAAGGCACAGAATCACAGAAGAAAATAAACTATATGTGAACATTCTTCCTGCTCCCTCTTTTTCCCCCTTCATTTCCTCCTCCCCCTCCTTCCCTACCAATTCTCAGCAATAAATCAACTTTCCTGTCCATGTGGCTAATCTTTTTCTCAACTACTTAAGATGTTTATATCCTGGAACAAGAACTTATAGATGCAATAAAACTTAAACTGGTATAGAGAACCAGGAATGGTGGTGCACTCCTGTAAGCTTAGCACTCAGGAGATTGAGGCAGGAGGATGCCTGAGAGTTCAAGGCCAGCCTGGGCTACATAGTGAGTCCAAGGCCAGCCTGAACTACAAAGGGAGACTGTGTCTCAAAAAAAAATAAAATAAAATACACTGGTCTACATGTGTAAATAATGAATAGTTTCGCTAGTGTGACAAACTTAAAGTGTAAATAAGGACTAAAAGGTAAAAGAGATAATGTGAAATAGGAAGAAAAGGGGCAAACAGGAAGGGAAAGTGGGAGGGTAGGGGAAAGGAAAGAAGGGAATGGAATTAACATGAGAAAATGAAAAAAAGGAAACAAAGTCTTTGTAAATAGGGAGGGATGGAGGGGTTGAAGGGAGGATGGGGAAGGGGGAAAAAATAAGAACCAGGAGATTATGTAAAGGTGCATATCTACAATGATAAATGTCATTATATTGTACAACTAAAATGTACCAATAAAAGGATATACAAAAAAAATACACTGGTGTAGCATGATGAAAATGTTTTGAGTAACTCCTACTTTCCAGGTCCAACTTTTAGCTCCCTCCTCTCCATAAAACAGACAGGGTGGGAGGGAGTGGAAGGTGTAGCCAGTGCAGTTCAAAAACTCTGCTTCAGGGAGGAAATTATAAACATCAGAGCAGAAATCAATGCAATGGAGACTAAGAGAACAATACAAAAAAATCAATGAAGTCAAGAGTTGGTTCTTCGAAAAAATAAACAAAATTGACAAACCCTTAGCAAAACTTATCAGAAAAAGGAAAGAAAAGGCCCAAATCCAAGCAGTTAGGAATGAAAAGGATGAAATTAAAATGGACCCAGCTGAAATCCAGAGGACCATCAATACTTATTTCAAGAACCTATACACCAATAAGATGGAAAACACAGAAGAAATGGACAGATTCCCAGATATGTATGAATTACCAAAGTTGAATGAAGGAGACCTAAAAATTCTAAAGAACCCAATATCAATCAATGAAATTGAAAACATAATTAAAAACTTACCAACTAAGAAAAGCCTGGGTACTGATAGCTTCACTGCTGAATTCTACAAGACATTGAGAGAGGAACTACTGCCACTACTGTTTAAACTCTTGAGTGAAATCAAAAGGGAAGCAATACTCCCAAATTCATTCCTGGAAGCAAGCATCACCTTGATCCCCAAAGCAGAGAAAGACCCAACCAAAAAAGAGAACTACAGGCCAATCTCCCTAATGAACATAGATGCAAAAATCCTTTCTAAGATACTGGCACATAGAATGCAGAAGACCATCAAGAAGATCATATACCCTGACCAAGTGGGATTCATCCCAGGGATGAAGGGATGGTTCAATATATGCAAATCAATCAATGTAATACACTATATCAATAGAGCCAAGGACAAAAACCATATGATCATCTCAATAGATGCAGAA